GTTATGAATTTTACCATTAGGGATCATCCGAGTTAAAAATCTTGCTCAGGGACTAGGCGCGCAGGTTACCCCAAACCACAGGGACCATCCGTGTAATTTACCCTGTAATTTAACCAAAACAAAGACCCTATTTTTTTTAGGCCCCATGCGCCCCTTCCTAAAAGTGAGCCTAATAGTTTTATTGCTCCCGTTCATAATATTCTTATTATGATAGTCAATGTGTATACAATTATTGTTTTTTATACACTTTGTTACACTATCAATATAAAGATTTTCTATTTTGCCAAATAAAGATATTCAAAATTTCTAACTTATATTTGTATCAACCCCCAAATTTCTCAAGAAAAAAAAAATCATATTTTCTCATCTTACAGATTACATAAAACGGAATATACCCCTGGACTTGGACATGGGCTCCAAACGCGATCCATAATGTAACCCGTCTGGGGTGACGTACGTCGTTAGTCGTTACCCCTTCAAAACTTTATCCGTGTGGTTCAGAAAGCAGATGAAACAATGGTGGTAACTGCTGCAACTACATCTCTTCCACCATTACCGATTTTGAAATATCATGCCATCGGATTCCCAATTAAATCTTCTCTATTCATACTTCCGTCACCAAGAACCAATTGCATCCCCCGCCTTGTAATTCCTCCCCGAGCCGCCGTAATCCGCCCAGTTTCCGCTACTCCGGATGGGGTTTTTCTGCTAGCTGAAGCAAGCTCCCCTGAGAACACCGATCAGATTGTTTCCACAGCCTCCGATAACGGTGATGGAGTCTCCATCGTTATTTCAGTTCTTCTTTCCATTGCTTTTGTTGGCTTATCAGTTCTCACTATTGGGGTAAGGTACTGTAAACCTCGTTAGATCATGAATATTCATCTGCAAATCCACAATTTTCTTTAAAATTCTTAGCTTTTGGTTTAGATTTGAGGTCAAAAGGGCAGATATCAATTACAAATTATCACAATGCTGAAATTTTCAGACAAGAAAAGGGGTGGTCCTCGTAAGAATCTGTTCGAATTCGGTATCTGTTCTTGGAAGCTACTCATAAACTTTATAAACCCAGTACTCCTCGTAAGAATCATAACAAAATTTTAAAAAATTAGGTCTAATCTACTGCAAATTTGGTATCAGTTTTTAAAGATGACATGATTGACTTCAAAAGTCAAAGTGTACATACATTCTTTGATGGCTTGACATTTATGCTCATCGAATTTCATATCATTTCTAGATAATCTCATTAGGTTTTCAACAAAATATCTCAAACCGAAAAGTGTAGATGAAATCTGTAATAATTGTAGTATGATTGTGAGCTTGAATTATATGTTACACCAAATTCGATTATATATTACTTCAAATATTTGAGGAAATTTGATATTCCCATCAGACTTATGATTTGAGTTCATTCGTGTGTGTGTTTTTCAGGTTATCTACATAGCTGTAACAGATTTCTTACAGAAAAGGGAGAAAGATAAGTTTGAGAAAGAAGAAGCAGAGAAAGCAAAGAAAGGTGGCAAGAAGAAGAGAGTAAGAGCAAGAGCTGGACCCAAAGGATTTGGACAGAAGATCGAGAGTGACGATGATTTTGATTTGTAGATTCTAGAAATTTTCAATTTAAAGATGTACACAATTCTTGTTCATCACCGCAGAATCAAGTGTTAGAATACTCAATGCAAAAATGTTTTATATTTTTGAGTTTTGGTGTATGTTATGCGTGTTTTACATGCGAAAAAAAAACACATAATTTTTGAAGTTTCTTGTGTTTGAAATCTTCAAAAATATCATTTACAGTGCAAAATCTCTTTGTTTGTTGTTATTTTTGTACGTAACACTATAATAAAAAACTTTATTTTGTTATGAAAATGATTTTTGAAGACTTTTAACACCCAAAAAAAAGTTAAAAAATGTTTTTTTTTTTTTTTTAAATACAGATAATTCATGGATTTCATAGACGTTGTTTGTGAAAACAAAAGTTGATTTTTTTTTTTTTCATCTGGTTTTACGACCCATTTTTTTTTGTTGATGGTTGACATTTTCACTAACGTTTTCTACAAAAAAATTAAAAAACATATCATTTTATAAAATTTTCACAATAACATCTTTAAAAATCATTACTATTTTACTAGCTATTTTTTGTTTAAAATTTCAAAAAAAAAAAAAAAAATTAGTCTGCCTTTTTCTCTTTCTTTTTACCATTTTTGTGATTAGTACTTTATAATTTTATATAATTAACTTTAATATGCTTAATCCATCTATTTTTTGATGCCTAATTAAAAAAAGGAAAACTTCTCATCCCACATCGCCTAGGGAAAAGAGCTTATTAGGGTCTATAAGCAATGTTTGAGCTGCATTTTCGCTGGACTCGGTTGCGCGAGTCTATGACCCAAGTGGGGGCATTAAGGTGGGTTCGGAGGGATGTTGAAAAGGGACACAGACTATGGAGGTTCCCAGTCCAATACCCATGAAGAAGATCGAGTCGGGCTCTAAAGGTTCGCGGCGACGATGCATTAATTTAAATGGTTATTGCACGGCGTTTGGCAGTCTCTGAATGGTGTCGGTTAGGATCCACGGTATAAATAATTGACGGGGCCCGAGTGCAAGAACCACCGTGCGCTGGTGGCGACCTCTTGAAGAGCGAGCAAGCCACTGGAATATCTATTTTCCATCCAGACCTGTAACAGGGAAAGGGTGGCGTATGGGCTGACTTATCAGAGCAGCAACCGGCACACTATTGACTGGATAAGGTGCGAACCCTTAATCTTCTCATGGACTTGGCTGACACTTCTGTGGTTACACTGTTCTCTTCAACCCCAACTCCCATCTTTTGACTTTCATTTTCTTTCCTCCTTCACTCATCAAGTGTTTGATAAAATGCGCCTTCCAAATTTAGAGCCTCTGTCATTTTCATTTTCTTTCCTCCTTCACTCACCAAGTGTTTGATAAAATGCTCCTTCCAAATTTAGAGTCTATGTCATTTAGCAGATTATAGCTTCCATCATGTCTTTTCTGAGATTTTTTACTCCATTGTTGCACAGACAAGGTTTGCATCTTTTGTTCATACTTTGTTAGAACATGTCTATCAAAAAGATTAATACAAATGATTAAAGATAAATTGTTATGTGTAAGAAAACAAATACACCAAATTATCAAAAAGATTAATGCCATTTTCCTTTTCTCATTGTCATTGTCATTTGACGAAAACAGCAACTTACTTTTGACTCAAGAAAGTAGACTTACACTCATAGTATGAGCTATATACAATACAAAAGACTGTCTACATGGCACAATCATGCTGCAAGAACTAATCAAACAGGGAGGTGAGTTATTTAGACACAATTAAAATCAAATTCAGACAAGTGAAGTGAACAACCTTAAGTTGCCACATCTCAAGCAATTTAAATTTATTTTGACAAAACTTACAGAAAGAAGGTAACCACTTGTCTATAACAGGTTCTTTCTAAATCGTGTGGATTAAGGCTCTGGAATAATTTCACGAACTTGAACCGATGAGACTATTTTTGGACTAGGGATAGAATCATGGGTAGGAAGGAGTATTTGGGGGGTTAGGTTGGGATGATGTAGGAATAAATGTGGATCGAGACTATGATGTAACTGCTTATGTTTCTAGATCAGGTTCAAGGATATGATTGGAGTGAGATTGGGATGATGCAGGCAAAGATGTAGATAAGTCATGGAAAAGATCTTTCAAGCTTCCATTATCTTCCTTACAATTCTCCTCGATAAAGTTAGGTGCAGTAGGGATTGTTTTTGCTAAAGGTTACATCTTTTGAAACAAAGAACCTTCTAGATGGAGGTTGGTAGCATTTGTACACTTTAGAGCTTGAGGATCAAGATTGTTGGAAGTGGACACATTCGGGTAGATTTAGTTAAAATTAGCCAAAAGGGTAAATGTGTAAAATGTACCAAAATATAAAAACCTCTTTTAAAGCATTTGATCCATGACTCGGCCTTCATAAATCCAAAAAGCTTCAACACTGTATAACAGAAATAACATTTACTTAATTTATTTTTCTATTAATTTTTATTATATGAGCATACAAAAGGGCAACTTGCTTATTCTTGCAACAATATAGGCAATGAAGCAGTTGTGTAAGGATGTATGGCATTGTAGCTTGATTATCTTCACTCATTCTTCTGGTTTTCATGATTCTATTTGTTTTCAAGTAATGCATATCCCTATGATTCCTAAAGGAAATGTGGTGAAAGATTAAAAACTCAAATCAAAGAAACTCATGTTATTGGAGATAGATATTTAAGTCTGCTATTATGATAACAAGACAGACTTAGTGAAACGTTATTAGACATAATTATAATAATATTAGACTAGAGGGTGGGTACTAATATGTAATTGTTAGTATTATATACAGATGATCGATCAATACATTATACAAATTCTCGGCTCTTTAAACGTTCAGCAAAATCAAACACAGTAATAAGCTTAGTGCAATTGATAAGATATGAAACAAATGATTAACCATTTAAAAATATTAACTTGGGAAAATCAAAAATGGGTGAAACTTACAATATGAAATGTCTGTGGCGCACAAAATATGGCACTAATCAGTAACTATGGTGAAGAAATGTAGAGAAAAAGAAGAGAGTTTACATTAAGAATGTGTATATATGAATATGAAATCTAGAGCTGATTAAAAAAAACATGAAAAAATGTACATTGATTTAGGCAATTGTCTCTCGATTTGATGATTGAACATACTAATATCAAATCCTAACCTTCATCTGTGTCCTTCAAAACAATTAACACTATGTGTGAAACATATCAACTACTCATGTCTTATTTGAAAATGTTTTCCTATTAAATTAATTTTATTCAGAGTTTTTGCAAACCTCGAATGAGTAAGTACCAAAATTGAAAGAAAAAAAATACAGCTTGATCAAAAATCTAATAGTACTCTAAAAAGATTGATAAATCATTCATGTATATTGTTAGTTAATCATTGTTATAGAATCATTGACATCCGATAACGAAAACTATCTATTAAGTAAAACAAAATTATCTATTAAGGTATTAAGATATGATCAGACAACAAAAAATGTAATACATGATGGCATTTCTTGTACAGATCAGCAGAGAGAATGAGATGAAATCCATATTTTCTTAACATAATTGGTTTGGCTAAAATAGAAGGTAACAACAATAAGATGGTGATTGTTCAAGCACCACAACTAAATAAAGAGGTTCCTGCAAAATATTGAAGTTTTTTTACAAAATTCTTGTATATAATATTTATATTCACAAAAAAGAATTGATTATTACCTCATCAGAGATACAAAAATAAAAACCAAAACCCTTTTTTTATTGACCACTTGTAATTTGGAAACACCATAAACATGACTTAGGACACCAATATGATCTGTGGCAAAAGAAGATAAGGTATAAGAGCATCATGTTACAATTCAAAGTACAATCTTAATAACTGAAGGCACATGGTATAATCCTAATGTAGTTAAGCCTTCTGATTAACAAGAAAAATATACAATTTCTTAATAGGTTGGATTTTGAAAGTATAATATTATAAGTATGATGTCCTAATAAGAAAAATTACAACGCTATGAATTCATGGAATTATCATAATGCAATGCAGCCCTTATAAGAAAAAGTTGAAATTACAATGTTGTAACATAAAGAAATGGATGTACAATGCTATAATGAACAAACTATAGAAAACTCGCCTCAGATCATCCTTCTTTCATTTCATCTTATTACAACATTCTACTTTCAAAATCTACCCAGTTTTAGCAATCACATACAAATTAATACACAAGCATCATTTCCTGGAGATAATACACAAGCATGAGTGTTAGGAACATAGGGGTATTTCTGGAAATACATAAACATGGTCATAGACTCATATCTTTTGTAATCAGTGGATACAAGGCAGTAATTTGATAAAGCAAGTTCTCATATCTTTGATTCTATGGGGTTCTTCTTTTCCTTTTCTCCACCATAACATAAGCTCTTTATTTGGTTTCTACAACCTTTTCTTGTTGCAGAGTAATGAATGGAATTTGTCAAACAAGTTGAAATTAAGAATAACAATCAATCTCAGAGTAATGTAGGAAAAGGAATAAAGGGTAAGAAAAGATTCAACTTTGGTAGACTTGAAAAGAAAAAAGCACAAGTGAATAAGAAATAGAAACCTCTGGTGTCCACTTGTCTAACAATGTTTGTAACAAAATCATCTGGTTTTGCTAAAGCACCAACTCATATCATATGGCAAAAAATCAACAATCAAATGGCAGAAATCATGAAAGATGTTATTGGAGATAGATGCATAAGTCTGTTATTATGAATAACAAGATAGAGTAGAGTACATTTTTTAAATTACAAGATTCCTAACAAGAAGAAACAAATGTAGGATGCTATAATAAATAAATCAGCAAACTTATGTTGCTATTTTCTCACATTAACCCAAGAAATATATGATTGGAATCAAAACACAATCAACTTTCTTGAGAAATCTGATTGTCATACATCGAACCATGATCATGGAAGTTTGTTTTCTTAAAAACAATGCTACACAAAAACTAGATGGAAAATGGAATAAAAATGTTTTACAAAATGACCAACAAAAATGGATGCAAAAGACATAAAACATGAGAATAACTGGAATTACACTACCTGTGCATTATTAAAAACTCAAATCAAAGAAACTCATGTTATAGGAGATTGATGTTTTAAGAAAATGATACAAGCTTTAACCCCAGTTTCTGATGGAAGAGATGCAATTGATAAGAAATGATTAACCATCATACCATTATCAAACCCCCATAGAAGGAATCTCTGACAAAAAGCTCATCAGCAATTGAAATGTCAAAGCGATTGATTAATGATTAGCAGCAACTAATATCACAAATTTAAGCGTTTGAAAAATATGGCTTTGTGTAGAAGAGTGATTCACATCATCCGGACCTGCAAGATCAAGATTGGGCATTAACTTCAGTTTACTACATTTGCAGCATCAAGAAAGACAATTTATGTCAATGTTTTATATTCAGTTTTAGTGAAGAAAGCCTAATATAGTGGAACTTAGACATGTAGATAGTAGATACTTGCACAATAACCAATGCGAGGATGATCAGGAAATCTAGTGACTAACTTCAAAGGATAATCTGTCACCAAAAGAGAAAGATGTCAAGGTTTCATATTCAATCATTATAATTTTTGATGATGAACCAACCTGTAAGAGTAAACACTCCAGTTTCATGTCTTCAATTTCTTTGGAAGATCAACATTGTACCCGTGTTCTACCACTAACATAGCAACAAAATCAGTAACTATGGTGTTAAATGTAGAGCAAAAGAAGAGGGTGTATTTACATTAAGAATATGAAATCTAGAGTTGATAAAAAAAAAACACTACCATGTAACAACAAAAATGTACATTGATTTAGGCAAATGTCTCTCGATTTGATGACTGAAACAAACTGTTAATTGATAGTTTTCCCGTTAACTTTCTCACGGGTGATCCTCTCGATATGGATGACCCACTTTCGCCGGTAGACCTGAACCACCTTACCTTCACGGCCTTTGTAGGTTCCACGCACCACCTGCACCTCGTCGTCTTTCCTGACGGGAACTGACCGGACGTTGTGCTTGGTTCGTAGTTCAGTGGATAGCGGTGCACTCATCAGCACGCGGCGGACGCTGGATGGGGCGGAGAAGTGCGCCTTCCGGCACTTGCGGCGGGAGCTGGTGACTCGTGGGTTGTACTTCATTTTGAGCGTCTAGGGTTCTTGGCACTTGCGGCGGGAGCTGGTGACTCGTGGTTATTGTTGGTACCGCGTCCACGCCCGTTGGAAGATCGTCCACGACCGCGTCCTCCTCGACCCCGTCCGCGTCCACGAGAGGTAAAGGGATCTGCCTGTTGGTGGTTAAGGCGGTTGCTATCTCCAAAATTTGGATGAGTCATTGGTGCTGAAGCAGTCAAGGCGGTAGTGGAGGTGCCTCCGGTTAGGGATACAGCAGTGGCAGCAGCCTGATGAGCTTTTCGTGCTTCTTCCATGATGAGTTTGGAGCGAACTGCATAGAAATCAGGTAAGGGTGTTGTTTGCTGGATGATCATCGCGACCCCTTCATAGCTTTCATTGAGACCAGCAATTAGTTGAAGAACAAGACGTTGGTTGGAAACCGGGTTTCCCACATTTGCCAGTTGATCAGCAAGCATCTTCATGGCTTGGCAATAGGAGGAGATGTTAGGGTGTTGATCAAGTCTTGTAGAGACGAATTTGCTGTCAAGATAGACAGCTCTAGTGCTCTGGTTATCTTGAAAAATGTTTTCAAGGGCAGTCCATGCCTGACACGCAGTGGTGTTTGGTGTCAAAATTGTGTGTAGCAGATCATTAGAAATTGTGCTGTAGATCCATTGGAGAACAATAGCATCGAGTCGTGACCATGCTGCAAACTCAGATGCTTTAGTTTTGTCGGCTTCAGTGGAGGTTTTATCAGCTTCTGTTGAGGTTGAGGTTGAGGAAGAAGAAGAAGGTGGTTTTGAAGGAGGGATGACGGTAGAATCAATGTGATCTGCAACCTGAAAAGCCCTGCAATGGATGCGAAATAATTCTGCCCATGAGGTGTACTGTCCGCTCTCCATCTCCAGTATAAACGGAATGAAGTCCGTATGTTTGTGACTGTGATGGCTGGGTGAGATTTTGGGTCCATTGAAGAAGAAGAGAAAAAAAAAATGGCGTACAGGGAAGAACAGGAGGCGAAGTAGGGTTAATGATATTTGTGCTCTGATACCATGTTAATTGATAGTTTTCCCGTATCATTCCAATGATTTACAATTCATATTTATACAATATCCTATCGCTATCTATAATGAAGAGTTTATCAACTATAACAATACTTCCTCAATATGAGGAAAGATATCAGGAAAGATATCTTCGGCTAATACAAACTAATATCAAATCCTAACCTTCGTGAGTGTCCTTCAAAACATAATCCCCACATATGTGAAACATATCAACTACTCATGTCTGAATTTTACAATCTTCTCCTATTAAACTAAATTCATTCTGAGTTTAAATACTGTTAAAATGATAAAATTTAAACTCTTACAACTGTGTGCAACTTTCATGCTGTATAAGCGTATAACTGGGTGAAAAACTTACAGATGGGTATAGTTTCTATGCATCAGTAATAACATTGTTCCAACTGCTCCTTTGTCACCTACTTGAATGGAAAAAAAAAAAAAAAAAACATTTCTCAGAACTAACTACAAACATTACATGGCTAAATTGGCTAGTAAACAAGTCACTTAATAGGAAAGCATTGTAACACTTGTTGAATGTTGTGAACATCTAAACAAATAAATTTGAACTTGTATAGCCTGTAGAGGGGAAGTCATGTATAATTAGTTTCTTGTCTACAAACTATGCATCTGTTAGATGGACCTCTTCTTTATAATCTAATATTCAAAAGAGACCGATTTCAACTAAAAAGTCCAAACAATAAAGACATAGTTTTTTTTTAAATGAATTACAGCCAGAGTGGGGGAGAGAGTACCCATTTAGGTCAAGAAGCTCTAAACATTCATGTGGGTTTTGTGTTACTCATTTTGGTTAAAAAAAGGTACATGAATGCCATGATCAAACTTTCATATGTAGGAAGCCAAATATTTTCAATATGACAAAAATTCGAAAAATCAAAATCCAAAATTTACAAAAGCATGGAAGAATCTGAACAAAACCTTAGAAACGGGGCAAAGCGTAACAGAAATGACCATAACCAAAGCCACTTGTCCATTTTCTTTTTTTTTTTTGCATGAAACACAGATAAATGAAAAAGTTGCTATCACAACAATACTGTAATAAAAAGAAATGAAACTAGGGTGATATAAGACACAAATAAATGAAAGTAAGTTCCATGACATCAGGAGACAAGGGTGATGCACCTGAAACCATTAAAGCAAGTTTGTCTTTTATTTTGTTAAATACTAATCTGTCTGTCCCACATAGCATAGGAGATGCACTCTTGCCTGAAAGATATAATATCAGACATATTATATATTCTTTAAAGTATGGAAAGCTAGCTAAAAGGCTCCCTCCCTTGTGCTGAATTTTTTTTTTTTTACCACCATATGACTAGTCATCTGGATTCATAACACTGCAACAACCACAAACCTAACTGAGCATCAATAATAAGCCATACCAAATTGAAAAATACAACAAATCTATCATTACCCATCATATCATATACTCTGTTACATAATCGTGGAACATAATAGGTCTCACTCAATTCCACCATCATCTCATCCAACAATTTCAAGCATGAATGAAAATACATTGCCCATTAAGTAAAAAAGAAACAACCGTTTTGTCATGGTACAATAAGGAAATCATTATCATGAACCTTATTCAGACAGAAGATGAAATTTGAGTTTCTTACTCCTTGATAAAATCCAACTAAGCCACCAATATCATCTGGTTGGACCTTTCATATATGTGTGAAAACAATTGGCATTTGATGGATACAACTTTAATTTCAAGGCTACCACCAGTCTGGTTTCTATCCCCTAACCATGTAGGAAAAGGAATAAGTTCCACTTAAGGTAAGAAAAGATTAAACTTTGGTAGACTTGAAAAAAAAAAAAAAAAAAAAAAATTGGTGTCCACTTGTATACCATATTGTAGCAACATCATCTTCTTTTTGGTGATCGAAAAGAAAAGGGTGATGGTTGTTATTTCCCTAAAAAGCAACAATTCATATGGCAAATAAATCAGTAATCAATTGATAGAAATCATGAAAGAAAGATTAACAACTCAAATCAAAGAAACTCATGTTATTGGAGATAGAAGTTGAAGTGTGTTATTATGATAACAAGATAGACCTAGTGAAAAGTTCTAAAATGTGATTCAACAAAGGGATTTGAAGTTACCTGAATATTACCAGTCAATATGAGTTCTTGAAGGTTGTAGCTTCATTTCAATAAAGAATCTTATCAGTGCAACCAATAAGAAATGAACCAAATGATTAACCATCATACCACTATCAAAATATGTCAAGGTGTCATATTCAATCAATGTAATGTTTGATGATGACTACCTGTAAAAGTAAACATTCCATTTTCATGTCTTCAATTTCTTTGGAAGATCGACATTCAACAAAATCAATAACTATGGTGTGAAATGTAGACCAAAAGAAGAGGGTTTACATTAAGCATGTGTATATGAATATGAAATCTGGATTTGATAATAATAAAAAAAAAAAAACATACATTGACTTAGACATTTGTCTCTCGATTTGATGGTTGAACAAACTAATATATCATATCCTAACCTTCGTGAGTGTCAATCAAAACATAAATCTCACGATTAACCCCATGTGTGAAATACTCATGTATTATTTGACAATCTTCCCCTATTAAACTAATTTCAATAAGAGTTTTTACAAACCTCAAATAGGGACCAAAACTGAAAAAACTAGCTATAAATATTACTCTAAAAAGATTGATAATGTAATTATTGTTACAGAATCGTTGATATTTGATAGTGAAAACTATCTATCAAGTACTGATAGTAAAACAAAATTACCTATTAAAGTATTAAGATATGATCCAGTAACAAAAATTGCAATATAGACCAGCAGAAAGAATGAGATGAAATATGTAATTTCTTAACTAAATTCTCATATAAAATATTTTTATTCACAAAAGAGAACTGATTATAACCTCATCAGAGATATGAAGGTAAACACCAACACCCTCTTTATATATATATATATATATATATATATATATATATATTGACCACTTGCTTTTAGAATTTCAGCCCACCAAAGACTACATCATGTGGCATTTCCCTTCCCTGATGTCCCATTTTCGCTAAATAAAATCACACATTTTAAATAAATAAAAGACTTGACTAAATAACAAATATCTTTTGTAAAGAATTACCAGGCATACTAAATAAGTCCTTTAAGTACTAATAGTAGAATAAACTTATGTATTAAAGTATTAACATTTGATCCAGAAACAAAAATTGCCACCAGAAAGAATGAGATGATATCCCTAATTTCTTAACATAATTGGTTTAGCTAAAATAAATAGTAACGACAATAAGTTGCTTGTTCAAGCATCACAGCTGAATAAAGAGGCTCTTGCAAAAAAAAAA